TGGAGGCACTAGAGGGAGCCTGAGCATAACAGATCCCGCTCTGGGCTCAATGTGGGAGCACTGGTCCTGTTGAGGCACAAGGGACCAGGCAGTAACAGCAGACACAGCACTTTCCCCCTTGACCTGCTGTGGCTTTTTTTCCCCTGACAGCTGTTATAGTTTTCTTAAAGGCATGAAGAAATACTGCTTCTCTTATAGAAAGTGCTGATGGGCCAGCAGCCAGACAGCTGGCTCTGTGCAACCGGTGCAGTCGTCAGACCGGAGGGTTCAGCAAGCAGGAGTTACTGCAAGGCAAAGGGGAGCAGAAGTGCTAACCCACAGCCACGGCTTTCCTACAGGATGGGGAGCTGTTGTGACACAGCCCTGCGAGTGCCCTGGACCTGGGAACCGTAACTGAGGCTTGTGTGCTCTGCCTGGTGTACTCCAGTTAGCACATGAGGAGAGCTGGGCCACTGGAAGAGGCTCGAGAGATGCAGTCTTTTATTCCCCTCAGCAATGTTTTCATTGCACTGCCTTTGGAGGAGGAACAGGGTCACTGCCTCAAGATCCAGCTGTCTGAACCTCCTGTTTCACCACTGTCACCACGGAGCAGCGCGAACAGCGAGAGAGTCCCTGGGTTAGCTACAGATGAGCATCAGCACTATAATGGGGCAGGGACTAGGAAACAAACACTCTGCACTGGTGTTTAGCCACAGTGGAGGGTAGATGTATTTGTCCCAAGTACACCTGCAAAGCACATCTTCTTTTAGGGTGTTTGCAGTGGGCCAGGGTTCCTTTCGGCAGGATAATCAATCTTAGCCCAGCAGGAATCAGAGCAGCATCCAGAAGACAGGTGAGCAGGCACTGTGAGCAAAGGCTCCATCGCTCCTGCCTGCCTTTGGAGGCTTTCACACCCACAGAGACCATCCCAGACCCTCTGCACGTGTTCCTGTAAGCGTGCTCCTGTAAGCAGCTTCCCACCATGAAGGAAGGTGGAAAAACCAGGCAGCAGCCTCCAGTGCAGCCGTGACCTTTCTCGCCAGGCCTGCCACCTCCTCCCACTCTCCCCAGAGCTGGCACTACTAACAACTGGTTTCCTCCTGTTATTTTTCCACCTCCGCTCCTTCCTCCAGCGGGGAGGCCGTGCTGGTGGCCCACGTACCGGTGACTCACAGGCTGGGACCCGCGAGGAGCCAGCTAAGCCTGGCCAAACTTAGAAACATCTCATTTTCCATTGCCTACACCCTGGATGCTGCTTCTGGCTGGGCTCACCACTGGAGACCTTCTCCAGCGACCTGCAGCGCTGGGGAGGACCAGCTCGGTTGTGTTTCCTTTAAGTTTTGGCAATGCAGGTGCTGGGCTGAGACAGAGCAGCCCTTGATACAGATGAATTCCTACTTGGTGAGTGTGTACGCAGCGTGCTGATAGCCAAGAACCATGAGATGTTCTAGACATCAGAAAGGGCTTTTCAGGCTTGGGAAACATGTAAACAAAGCTATATAGAGAGGACTGCATGGTAGCTGCATTTTCCTGGAGGCTTCTGAGTAACATAAGGGGAACTTGGGGCTTTAAAAGCTGTTACAGTTATTCTGTGTCAATCATCCGGGTCCAGATGGACCCAAATCAACAAATGACGACTTCAACCACATAAAGTGAGCCTGGGGGCACCTGCAAGGTGGGGAAGCACGGTCTGCAAAGGTGAAGGTGCTGCTGTGGCTGGGAGCTGGGAATAGATGCCCAAGGCTACCTAGAGGCTGCAGCAAGCAGAGCAGGGAGACACAGCTCGTCCGTGCAGAGCTGTGTGGAGGGGAGAATGCCAGGAAGGGAGCAGCCGTGTGCGCTCAATCCCATCACTTCAATGGGGTTTTCCAGAATACTTTGTCCTGGTAATGGAAGTTTTCCTGGTGCTTCCCAAGCCCCTGCCCGACCTGCGCTTCCCAGAGCCCGGCTGCTGGGAAGGAGCGAGCGGATCCAGCGTGCATGGAGCAGCTGATCGCAGCAGGGGAGGCACACGGAGGCGGCTGGGGGAAGCAGAGAGGCCTGACCTAAATAGATGCTGAGCTAATTTATTCATTCCTTTGCTTTATTATTTAACGCGCCTTCGAAGCAGCTCAGGACTTCTGGTTCCTCTCAGCTCTGCCGCTGACGTTGGGATGGGGTTATTTTTGAGCTGATTTTCACAACCATTGCGTTGACAAGCACAGCACAGCCTTGCTCAGCACCCCGCGCTCCCACCAGGCAGCCAGGCATGCTATGGGGAGCGCCGACACAGCCGCTTTCGAGCCAGGAAGGGTTTAAAGTTATTTTGAGCTTTTGCTTCACCTCCCGCCTGGGAAGGTGCTCGCATTTTGGCTTGCTTTATGCATTGTTAATAGGGACATTTATCTCCAATGTAGCTGGCTGGTGAGAGGATTGGGGAGCTCCTACAGCACAAGGCAGCCTTCACCTCCACCGACATCTCCCCCATGCCGGGTGCCAAACGCAGCCCTGCGCCCTGCAGCATGGAGGCTTTCAAGGATAAACCTCTCCCACCTCCAGCCAGCCTCCTCTCTCCTCACATCCTAGCAGTTCCTGCAGCACTGGCCAGGGGGAATTGATGCTGAGGACACGGAGCCCCTGCTGCTGGGAGAGCGGTTTGGGCTGCGGTTCACCCCATCGGCTGCACGTGTCCCCTGTGAGCCCATGGCGCGGTTCAGAGGTGCTGCGGCTCAAGAGCCACAAGCTGAGGAAAAAGAAATTGCTGCCTGTGCAGGTTGTCTGAACCCCGGCACCATTCCTGTGCAGGCCAGGGGTATGGACACAGCTGCTTAGCACTGTTCAACCTGTGCAGCACCAAGCTTGTGCTGTGCAGAGCCCGTTAATTTTGTCTCTCATCAGGGTTCATCTCCAGATGTACAGATTCAGAATCACAGAATCATAGAATAGTTGGGGTTGGAAATGACCTTAAGATCATCCAGTTCCAACCCCCCTGCCATGGGCAGGGACACCTCACACTAAACCATCTCACCCAAGGCTCTGTCCAACCTGGCCTTGAACACTGCCAGGGATGGAGCATTCACAACCTCCTTGGGCAACCCATTCCAGTGCCTCACTGCCCTAACAGGAAAGAATTTCCTCCTTATATCCAATCTAAACTTCCCCTGTTTAGGTGAGTGTTGTATCCAGATACAGGGGAGTATCCAGGGGAGTGCTGTATCCAAATGTAGGCCAGTGTTCTACCCAGTTACCCAGAATCTCTGTTACGGTGTTTTTAAACAGGATTATTCATCAATCTGATTGATTCCATAAAGGTTTTTAAGCAGTAAAACGAGCACTGATGCTGTTCAGCTCAGCAGCAAAGGCAGTTCAGCTCATGCTGCCTTCACACTGCTGGAGAACGCTTTTGGGGGTGGGATAGTGCAAACTAGCAGAAATGAAGCAGTTAATGAGGCTGCAAGTTAGAGTCTTCCAAACCAGCAGGCACCACAGGGAAGCAGCCAGCTGTGGGTCTGCAAAGGTGGGTGCTGCTCCGCCTGGCACAGTCAGGCCCTTCTGCCTTTGCTGGTTAAACTGGGGCAGTGCAAACACTGGGCAGGGTCTCATCCTGGCAACCCACAGGGAGCGCAGCTTTATACTGCAGTTTGTACTTGTGGGTTGCTTTTTAATATAAAGCAATATAGTGTTTAGATGTGTTGGTCTGAGGGCCCTGTGAGGCCAAGAAAGGAAGGAACAAATAAAGGACAGAGGCAGCCAAAGTGAATTATCAGGAAAGCTTTAATTTCCCTCCCTATATCCTGGACTGAAATGCAGTGGATGATGCTCTGATTTTCCTAATGCGAACAGAAAGGCACTCTGCCATCCCAGACCCCTGGAGTCCTGGGTTTTGATGCATCTGCCTTAATTGCATAGGGCTCATTAGGATGGAGTTAAAGACAAATGGGATTGGAAATGGAATCCCACCTGGGATTTAGGATCCATCATGTGGGCACAACTTCTGCCCTTTTCCTTGGCAGCAAGGGATTGTGATAGAGGGGAGAGTCCTTTCATGAACCAGCACTGGTTTTGGAGTAGGCAGCAGGCTGGTTTTCAGCCTCCAGGTGAGGGATCCAGTTTGGCTGCTGGCTCCCCTTTATCTGCGTGGAGAGGATTACTGGGAAGCCATGTTGACAAATGCTGCAGCTAAAAAGGAAAAAGAACTTCCACACAAAAATGGGCTCTTTGTGCAAAGCGGAGAGGGAATCAAGAAGCTGCCAAAAAAAGCTGACATTAAAAGCACTGCTTACCTGCAGCTCATCTGATACCGTGACTGAAACCTCTCATTTGCAGCAATGTAATCCAAGCCGTTCTTTCTGCAAAGCAAGAAAGTAGGTTATTGCTTAAGCAGAGCTGGGGAAGGGGAAGGAGATAAGCAGGGCCTGATCCTGCCAGGTGCTGTGTGCCCCACACTCCCTCTGAGCGTGAGGGTCATGATCAGAGTTATGCTTTTCTCACCTCAAGTGAAATCCCATGCTAGAAGCTAACATACAGTAGGGAAGGACTTGCTAATTGCTCAATGGGTGCTGCAATAAATGAAGCATCCATTAAAATAATGCTTATATGACACCAGCAGCTTAACCTTCTTTTGCTTAATGGACTCAATGGGATGGGTGGGGGGGGGCCTGGGACAGGGGCTTGGGGCTTTTTTCTGCCTTCAGACCCCATCCCAGAGAGGTGCAGGTGACAAGAGACATTCATCACTTCAGGTTTGCGTTTGGGTGAGATGGCTTAGGGCAGGAAAGGTTTTTGACAAATACCACCCCTAGCTGGTGACTCCAAAAGCCTTCTTTGTTAACAAAGATGATACAGGGCCAGGAAGGGGAGATAACACACCGTCATTCTCCTTTGACTTGCGCTAGGAGATGGGTTTCAAATCACCTCTTGGGATGCAGGATTTGCAGCTATGCAATGCTCTGCCACCTGCTATCAAACTGCCGGGGCAGCGCAGAGATCCTTCCACCCCTGGCTATTGCATCTGACCCTCTCAGGAGTAAATAGGGAAAAAGAAACCTCTCCTTTGGCACTTTCCCAGTTTCTAGCAGCAGGGACATTTCCTAAGCTGCTCACTAAAGTTTAGTATTTTTCTAAGGAACAGCTGATTCTGTCAATACAGTAATATTGTCACGGATCTCACTTACTGCAGCAGGGCAGGATGTGGCCTGATGCGGTCGGCCTTGCTCTGACTGCTCCATCAGCAAAGCCTCAGGAGTCTTTCACCCTCAGGAGCAGACAGAGCTGGGCCAGAGTCTCGTGCAGGCAGCCAGACCCCTGCCAAAGAAAACACGTGGGACCTGGTCCAGTGTGGGCATCTCTATCTGCTGCTCCCAGCTCTTCTTACAAGGTATGGATGTGGGCACAGGAGCCACTTGCCTGCTGGAGATGGAAGAAGAGCAGTGTGATGTGTGAAACCAGCCTTGAAGGAGGCTGCCATTGTATTTCTAAGCATTCAGTTAAAAATCTCCCTTCCCTGCCTCATGCACACAAAGCAACAGGATGGCAAACCAGCCCTACCTTCTGCAAGCTGGTGGTGCTCCCCTGCAAACCCCCACCAACATGCTTTCCTTTGGCTGGATTGCCTGCTGCAGCCATGGACCATCTCAGCTTTCCCGGGATGCAGATAGCTGTGTGCTTTGCTCAGCAGCACTGAAATCCTTCCCCCTGCAGCACCAAGCACATCTTGTGCTATTTCTTTCCCTGTCTTTAGACGTGCAGAAATCCACCCGGCTGCATCTGCTGCTTGGTTTTAGCTGTGGTTTTGTATCAAGATCTTTTCAGTGGGTCGTGTCAATGAAGAAATCACATCCCCATCAAAACCACTAACGCAAACACCTCCTGGTGCACTCTGTGCATGCTCTCAGGGCTCACTGCAATCAGCCCATCTCTCTTGGAAGGCTGCTTCTTATCTCGGGTGGCAGCAAAAGGAAGTTAACAAACAGTGACATAAATTATTGAGCAGCCGAACTGCCCTGCCCTGTCACAAAGTCAGGGCTAAGGAACGAGTGACACCCTCCTTTGCACTAATTCAAATGAAAACATCACTGCACCCCAGCTGCATGGGAAGGGGCTGGGACTGGCAAACAGGCTGGCTGTGGAGCTCACAGTTCCCACTACGAAAGCTTGCATTTTAATGTCACTTTGCATATAGGTTTTGGCTGTGTTTCTCTGAGCCCCAGCCCAGCACAGACCACCATGTGTGCTGTGCCTGGGCTGGCTGACTGGTTTAAATACACTTGTTCTGGAAATGGTGCTTAGGGCCACCAATTTCAGCCTGACACCAGCTGCCCTGGGTGGGGTAATGGGCTTTATGAGGGAGATAAGGGCTGTGGCAACACTTCCTTTAGCCCTGCTGCTATCCCACACCCTGATGTGCAGGTTTGCTCCAAGTGTCATCAATAACTGAACTGGTCCCCATAGGGGTGGATGCACTGGGACAAGGACTGCAAAACAAAGGAGAAGCACAGCCCTCCCCTCTTGCATCAGCCTCATCTCAGTCATTTGTATTAAGGATGGCCTGATTTACGATTTGGCCAGGATCAAAACACATTTCCTCCCGCAAGGATTTTATGCAGGCTTTTCAAAGCACTTCATGAATTCCAATAAATCCTTAGGGAGTCTCTGGCAGGTGGATGCCTTTAAATCTGTGTTCACCCTTGGCACCTGACAAACCCGACACATCCAGAGGCGGTGGGGAGGACAGAGCGCCCACCGAAGATCTGGGGGCAGGTGATCTTCAGGCATTTTCCACTAAAGCTCCAGAACTGAAAACTCTTTCAAGTATTTTACGTAAGAAACCAAGCCACAGCACCACAGAGTCAGGAAGAGGATGCAGGACAGATCCCAGGCGTCCTTACTGTCCCCGAGCACCTAAACCACCTCTCCTTTCCCCACTGCTCTGCATCCTCATGCTGCCGTTCCTTCAATAGCTGAAGGATCCTGAAAACTTACAGCCAAAGCTTTCTTGCCTGCAGCAGCCACCTGAACCAACCTTCTGTTCCGATGGAAGCACTGGAGCATTTCTTAAAACAGCTCTTCCTCCTCCCATTAAATATTGAAGAGAGGAGCACTGGGGGAAAGCATGTGCTTTTGCCGAGGCAGGATGCACAGTGCTGGGAACCACGGAGAGCCAGATTAAAATGGCAATGAGATGGCAGGTGCTTGCAGAGCACAGTTCAGTTTTAGCTTCCCATTGCCTCCCCTTGTTGTGGTGCTCCCCGCAGCATCCCCAGCATTGCATCCTCATCCTGACAGCTCCTGCACCAGCCCCAGCACATGAACAAGCACTGAGCTCCTGACCTAGCACTGCCTTCCTGCAGATCCCAGCAGGGGACCTGTCTGGGTTGGGAAGGCAGACTGGGGAGCTACATGCTCTGCTCAGCCACCCCTGGGTTGCAGGCTGAGTGGATGAAATCCTATTGACCTGGAAACCAAGTGCTCGTCGGGGCTGATGGGAACACAGCGGTGCCTGGAGCCTGGCCACAGTGGGACAGGAGCAGAGCATGCAGCAGCCCTGGCCCCAGCTGCCAAGGGCTATCCCTACCAGCTGCTTTGTCTCCCCATCACCACTTTCCCGGTCTGCCTTATTTTGGGAGGGTGGCAGAGGGAGGGTGTTGGTGAATCCATGCTTTGCAGTTGCTGTAGCAACTGTGATGTCTCTGGTGGCAGGAGCACACGTTTCCTGCAGCAGGCAGTGTGAGCCACTTCGCTGCAAGAACATTTGTTCCCCCTGCTAGAAAAAAGCCCCCTGTGCCCATGTGCTGAGCTGGAGGGATGCTGCTGCATCTTCCTGCTCCTGGGCAATCTTGTGCACGAGCCAAAGCCTCAGCATCTCCTCCAGCCCCTCTGCTCCTTGGCAAGGACAACTGCCTTTCCTTGAGGCAGCCTCAAAGGCAGGGGGAGTTGCTGCAGCCATCCAGGCTCCTCCCTGGGCAGCTCAGACCTGAACTCATTTCCACGTGAATTAGAGCATCTGCTTTGGTGAGCAAGGATCAATCTTGATCAAAACACTCTCAGCAGTGGAGGATCAGCACAAGCTTTGCTAAGTTACTTCCCTGATTAATGACTTCTAAATAACGGAGCCTTTTTCAGAGGCTGGATTCATTGGGTGTCCTTTTCTTGTAAGGTTTTGCCTCCTAAATCCCGTCACTCCTCCATTTCCATCATCTTTGTACATCGCAAGCCCTGACCCGTTCTCTCTTCCTGTTCTCTTTGAGGAACCTGAGAGACAGAGCTCCGTGAGCAGCCCCTTGAGATGTTCTGGTGCCTCTTCTCTGAGCATCAGCAACTTGGCCATCACACTGGTGTTTGACCTTGAGGCACATTGCTCCAGCTTGCCACCCTTGTGTCAGGACCACCCTTTGTCATGTGCCACTGCAGGCACCCACATCCATTCGGAGTCCATCAGCCTGGTTTGGGCTTCACCTTGTAGATGTGACTCATCTTTCTTCCTCCAGAAATGTGACTTTCTATTCAGTTCAAATAAAGCTTATCCTGATGGCCTCTGTCCAACACCCCCAGCAGTTCACATCAGCCAGCAGACACCCAGAACAAAGCAAACAAAGCTTGTTGCTCTCCCCCCATAGCTCAGGGTTGCATCTGCTTTGGTCTGGTTTGCAGAATGAAGCCCCAGCCTTGCACAAAGGCTTTTCCAGAAGGCCATGAGCTCTGATCCAGCCTTATCACCACCTGCCTTTGGGATGGCTGTACCTGCTGCCAGGGAGAGCAAGAACTGCAAGTAGGTTCTTCATCAGAGGGGGAGGCAAAAAGGGAATGAGCAGTTCCCACCTTTCCTGCCCTAAGAGTACACCTTCTAAGTGTTTCCTGCCGGGAACCAAATCTTCCTTCCTCAGGTGGTCACCTTCACCACAAGAGATGAGCAATGCTCAGGCGTTCATAGCTGGTGTATTTGGAGCTGCAGCTGGAACTCTGCGTTCCCTGGGAAGTGTTCCTCAAGAACAGGTTGGGCAGTTGGGGAATGTTTCACCGCTATTTTCGGCCTGAGACATTTTCCCTTTTTTTCTTCAAAGTACAACAAAAAACCTGTCAACAAGTCACAAAAGAGTGATCTCAGCCTAAAATACGAGCCCTGGCGCAGGAGGGCTTTGACTCAGAAGCCACTTCCCATCTTTAGAGACTTCAAGTATGTTCCACTTCGTCATCCCGAAGGTCTTTAAATGCTTATAAAAACAGAGTTTGTTTATGCTCCGTCAGAACAGCCTATCTGTTACCTTGAAGGCTGGATGCAGAAATACTCCTCAGAAATTTATTGGTTTCATTCCTACCAGTCTGAACAGAAGTTTTCCACAGAGACGGTCAAAATACAAAGGTCTCAATTCCAATTTCCTTCAGTCTTTAGCAAGATGTCACATTAATTGTCTTTAAAAGCACTTTTATTAGTTACTGAGAAAGCAGGAGTCTGGCAGCTCTGCTTGACCACGAACTATTCGCGTTTGTGAGGTCTCCTTTAACAGCGGTTTGATCCAACACAGTGGTTTTCTCCACCAGCAAACTCAGCAGAGCCTGCAGCCAAAAGGACCAGCTCCAGGCAAGGGTTATTGCCTTCAGGTCTCAAGGGGCTCCTGCTGCTGCCTGGACAAAGCCTTTGTGCCCCTCTCAAGCCTTCTCACATCCCCAGTGTCAGGTAAAATGGAGCCGTGGAGGCATATGGTCAGCCTGAGGCCAGGGAGACCCATGAGAGCAGGTATAAATACATATCAACTGAGGCAATTTCATCCACACCTGTGATGCTCTGAAGAGGACTCAGGGAACCATCTAACACCTTGAGGAGTTCTGGTTTAGTCTGATTTTGCATAAGGCTTTGTTTCAGACAACAGCTCAGCCCGGTGATAACACAGGGAAAAGTGGTCATGAAAAAAGCCAGCAATTCCCACTTCTTCAAGGGTCAAGGAAATTATCTTCCCCCATCTGATCTCCATGGGATGCTCTGGGACTGCTCCTGCCAACATTCAGTCATTTCGGAGCTGCATGGACAGCCAGAAACACAAACTTCCCACCTGCCTCCTCACATGAGCCCTCCCAGCTTCCTTCAGTCAAGGCCAGAGCATGCAGAGCAGGATGCCCACTGCTCACGTCTCAGTGCATCAGCCAGCTGCAGGATGCACACAACTCCATGTGATACAAGCACCACGGTGGGATGCAACCGGGTCATTAGCATTTAGTGGAAAACCTCAGCTTTACTGCATATCTGCTATTGACTGTCCCATTCTAAACAAGAAGACAGATGTTAAATGGCGTTAAATGGCATTAAATGACACAAATTGAGATTGGCCTTTCCCTCCTGGCCGTTTTTTCAGGGCCCCCAATGCCATGCCAAACTGAGCCTCTGCTTGTGTTTCAGCTCTGAAAATACTTGAAGAGTGCCAACACACACACACACACACACACAATCCTCATAGGGGAGCAGACAGTGCTCTGATAATTGAGATGTTAATGCTGAAAGACTGAGCAAGTTTCCCTCATGGCTTGGCTGTGGGGAGCTTACGAGAAGAGAATGAATAAATTGGGACTTACCTGAAACAGCCAATGGATTGAAACCTGGAGACTTCTGGAAGCAGCTATGCAGGGAAGGAGCACGTGTGAAGGGTCCGGTTATAGGATTCCTCCTATAGTTGTGTAAATACATAAGCATTAATGTTGCAAGTTGCAAAGACTGGCAGGGCCAGCAGGGTGGCATCCATCCATCTCCAGAACCGCCTCCATCAGCACACTCACACTGCCATCTTCCAGCCAGGCAGATGCCCCATGTGCAAGGATGTGAATGAGAGCCCAAGATATATGGGCAGCGAAGATGTTCCAGCAGGAATGGTCTGTTGGACACTCAGGTATCTGTGGGTACAGAAACACAGAGAGAGCTTTCAGGCACGGGAAAAGCTGGGAAATCCAAAAAGCCCAGCTCCTGTCGCAGCCCTCTTCAATCCATCACCAGTTTAACACAAAGTCACCCGGAGGAAGCAGATTCTCTCTCCTGAGGATGGGTATCTGATACCCAAATCTTACAGCTACTGCACATAAACAGATGAAGACATTCTGATTGGAAAAATGCCTTGTCAAACCTCCCCTGCTGTCAGAGTGCCCTGGGGGATCTGAAGCCTCTCACCTACGAGAGTGCAAAGGATGAAGCCAGTGAGGCAACAAACATCATGAAGGGCCTTCAGTTAGCACAGTCGCTTCATCTCTTCCTTTAACTTTAGGACAGATGTGACAATAAAGGGCTGAGCAAGGTCTAGTCACAGCTCCTGCCTGGGGCATGGCTACTGCACATAAAAGCAAGCACCAGTGCAAACATGTGCTGGAAGGACCCCACTGCCCATAAAACAGTTCAATTTTGCTTTCAAGCACTGACCTAACCATGATTACTGGAGGTCTGATGCTCTCACAGGTGCTGGTTTTACACCTGCATTATTCACTGGCCCCATCAGAGCCAGCCCTGACTTCTCCCAGCTGGATGGAGAAGAGAATCAGGCGTTTCCATTATTTAGCCCTCGGACATGGCCACATCCACCCTACAAACCAGCCCTGTCATATGCCCTTTGCGTGGCTGAGGAGAGCCTCAATTACACGGTGGTGGCTGTGCATGGGCCACCAGCCCCACTGTTTACAGGAAGCGCTGGTGCAGAGCATGGAATTAGAAAGACCGCAAGGAAGTGAAGGATTAGTTACTGGAGATTAAAGGACATGGAAAAACCACAGGACAAATCAGTGGGGCCTCAGCAATGGTAGCTGCTATTTCAGTCTTCCAGCTGCTGGCATTCATACTGCTCATGCCACCGGGGTGAATTTAGGAGGAATTCAGTAGGGTGGATGGTTGCTCTGCTTGTGGACTAGTAAAATACATCAAAGAATAGGCCCCAAACCTGCTGGAAGGATGTCTGCTCCACTCCTTCCTTTCCTCAATCATTCCTTTAAGCCTTCCTGCTTCCTGGGTGCAATTCCTGGTTTTGGACTGCATCTCCAGGCTGAACAGCCAGATCTAGTTGCCAGCAAAGCCACCGGGATGTCCCCATAGGTTAGCCCAGATCAGTCAAGATAAAGCCTCTCCTCAAACCTGGGAAGAAGTGGGGTGGGGGTTAAGGTCTGACATCTCAAGACCTACAAGACAGCTGCAGTGCTAACGGGAGCTGGTGTTTCTTGGAATATCCATTATTATCACCTGGGGACAATAGCAGGTGAAGGTTGATCCTGGTCCTCCAATCCAATCCATTCTAACACAATCATTCTTAAGACCATTACTTCTTCAGGCTTTTGCCTTTAAGCACCCACAGCTTCCTTTCCCCTTAGAAAGTTCAAACCTACCAGCATGGTCTCTGGTGGGAGGAGACACAGGCAGCGCCTGTGGCCAAGCAGAGACATTGTACAAGTGACAAGACACGCTTGTTTGAGGTGCCTCAGTTGAAGTGCACGAGTTCACCTCACTTTGGGTGAGCTCTCCTTTCCAGCTACAACTGCCCAGCGGGATTTCAGTGGTTGCTCACCAACTCTGACATGTGGGCTGGAACAGGTCCTATGTCAGTGTGTGACCCCCTCTGCCTGCAGCTGCAGATACACAACTGCTGCTCCTGCAGCTCTCCGGGACGGCCACACACCCAAACACATATTCCCAGAAAACCCCACAGGCTTTCCCAAATGCTTGGCTATACCTTCCACTTTGGGTACACCTTCCCCAGCACTTTGCTCCTGGCAGGTGAAGCAGTTTGCAGCGCTGCCATCTTGGTCCCTCAGCCACACTGGCAACACCCTCACCACTCTCCTGCCACTGGCAACAAGTTTTGGGGCAGCACCCAAACTCCTCCACCAACCCCTTTCCCAGGGAGTCGGGCAACTCATTTCCTGTCTCTTTCTAAAGACAAAGATGTCACTTTGTTATCTCCCCCCGCAGCCTCCACTGTACCTCAATGCCACGCAACATCAGGCTGCTGCCACAAGCCAAGTGAAAGCATCCCCAAGCCAAGTGAAAGCATCCCCCATCCATCCCCACAGCTGATGCAGACTGAGCTCCCAGCACCACCGTGGCCTTCTGCACTCAGCGCAGGGTGGTGATTCAGCCCTGACTCAATGGGAAGGTGCCTGTGGACTGAAACCCCAGCCCTGCTGCCTGCACAGTCTGTGGTTAACATGATCCTGCTGGAAATCACAGAGCTGCAGCACAGGCGGTGGGAGGGAGGCTCCCCTCGGTGAGGAGGAGCCCACAAAAGGCTCCCACTGACATTCCTGCCTTCTCTCTTGCTCTGCATCCGTGCTGCTGAGCAAACACAAACAGCACGTTGCCTTCATGTTTGACCCACAGCAGTGCTTGGCTGCTGGTACCATACCACAGGCTCCGTCTAGAAAGCAAACAGTAGCTCAGTAGATTTTTTGCTTTTGTTCCCCCTACAACAAACAGAAAGGATGAATGAGCTTATTTTACAGCCTCAGAGGAATACCCAGCCATTGTTAGCTTGACACATGCAGCAAAAAGTGATGGCTAAGAAAATAAAAGCTTATTCTTTCCTGAATGGGTTGGCTGGAGAAGAATCCCCACCCCAAAACCAATTGCACGGGCCAGCAGCAGCATTTCCATCAGCTACGTGGCTGATCCACAGCTTGGTGACTTCCAGAGAGAGACCTGACCTGCTGCATGTAACAACAGGGAAGTGAAGACCTGGGTTTAGGTGATCTCTGAGGAGTCTGAAGCACACTGTGCTCCCAGCCTGCCCTCCCCGCTCAGGTGCCACCCAGCACCATGTCCCCATCCTGCACTCACAGCAGGCAGAGGGAAGGCAATGCCATCCTTCTGCAGACACTAACACAGAAACTCTGCACAACATTTCCTTCTCTCAATTCTCTGCACCTAAAAACCACTGTCACAAGGTCTGAAAGTCTCAGCTGAGGCTCAGGCACCTGCAATGGGAAACCAGCGGTGATGACCTCTGCTTTGGAGAACTGACATTGCCAATAAATGGGTTCAACGACACTTTCTCCCCTTGGAAAGGAGGACTGAGAGCCAGTACATGCAGACAAAACAGTAATTCCACAGCTGCTCAATTAATTAACACCATTAATTTTAACCAGGACCTCTTGGGTCATTTCACTGCAGCCATTTCTGCTAGAGAGCTGGGCACCATCACCTGCTGCAGCCTTCTTTGAAGCAGTAACCTGGCTCCAGAGCCGTATTTCTCTCCACTCGCCATGGAACTTGCTTCTGCCACCAAGTCACATAATTGTCCCTATTACTGCAGTGGTAAAATCAGTGTCAGGAGCTCAGAGCCCACGAATGGAGATTCAGAGTTTGGAGTCTGCAGCCGTCTTGTGTGGTTCAGTGACACATGAAGGGAAAGAAAAAAAATATCCCATTAATAGAATAAATCCCCAAGAATTTCCCCCAAACTCCCTTCCCACCCAAACCAATGCTTTTTTAAAGATGGATTTAAAAAAGCAGGAAATTCTACTGAATATGCTCCCTCCCTGTCACAGCTGCAACTCTGCTTTCAAATACATCTGATTTAGGAGACTGCCTTGGATTTATCTGGATGGCTGCATGCTGGTTTTCCTGCTTTATTCAGTGCTCAAAATGGCTGCAGAAAGAAGCTAAAGCAGAAGCCTGGTGGTGCAGTCCTGGCTGCTGAGCCATCGCTTCCCTCCATCCTCCTGCCCTGCGTACGTGAGGGCTCCTGGGAGCAGCAAAGGACAGGACAGAGGGGGCTGAGGCTGTGTCTGAGACAACCCTGATTGCCAGTATGTGCATCAGTGGGGGGGGTAATTTAGAGAATAAAGAATGAGGGGTTCTTTCAGTCTACAAAATCAGGAGCCAGCTCCCTCCCTGGTATCAGCAGAGAGCAAAACAGGGCCCAGGCAATTTTATCCGCTGTGGCTCCAACCCATGTTCTGTTTAGAGAAGCGATGAACCACAGGGAGAATGAGATCTCATCTTTTATTAAAGGCAGCTACGTACCTATTCACAGCTGTGCAGTGCCTTTAACAGCAAAATCAGTGACCAAGGTCTTCAAGTGGTTAATGTTCAAACAAATTACAGTGAGGAACAAAAAGGGGATTTTGCTTTAACTTGAAAATTAAAAAGAAAATACAAGAAAAGGAAGAATCTTTTTGTTTTTTGGACCTTTTAAATGGCCAAGGCTTTTAAGGTGTGCTCCAGAGCCCAGCATGAGCCTCCTCCTTGGGGAGGGAGGGAGGAGAGGGCTGGTGCAGGGGGATGTATCCTGATGGGTATTTTATGGGCTCCCCTGCACTGAGTGGGGAGCTGCGGCTGCCTCATCATGTAGAGGCGCAGGCAGGGGACTGGCTTGGTGACAGCAAGTCTGCTCAGTCACAGATCAAATGGCTTGATGGAAACTGGATCCAACTGGTCCAGCCTTGCGGGTTTTGATTTAAACTGCAGTTATAAGGTGTGATTAGAGGCAGGGGATGCAGTGCCAAGAGCTCAGATGTGAAGCAAAAAACATACATTAAAAAAAAGTCCTTTCCCTAAACCTATCTGTATTTTTCCAGTGTTAACTCTTTGCCTGCCACTGCCGAACACACAAGGAAATCCTGGGCCATCCAAGGACACCTTCATGCTGCTGCTCAAATCCAGGGGCTGTAAGAGTTCTGTCAGCAATGCAGAGGAATCTGGCCATTTGGCCACTGAAGCACTAATATTTATGGGCTTGGTATCAATAATAACCACAGCGGAACTTCATAGAGACCAACTGAGTCTTTCCTGCCACTGTGCCTGAGAGCAAGGGAAGTGGATGCTCTCCCTGAAGCCCTCGTGCTGGCCAG